AGCCCGGCACAGATGGCCAGTCCATCCCATGCTACGACGCTCCAAGAGCCTTGAAATGTTACAACTTGCAACTCTCTCCGTGGGAGAAAGGCCTGTTCCCGGGAAAAGGCCAGTTCCCACCACACAGAAAGCAGGTTTGTATTTCTTTGTGTGCTGGTGGCTATAGGTCAATGGGGCAGCCAAACATGGCTGTACTCATGTCAAGACATCCCCTCTGAAATCCCAAACCACTATCGCCTCCAACACCTTCCACGCCTTTAGCTACAATACTTAAGCAAGCAGCTTAGACAGAATGATGAGTTGCTCAGCCCTCTGAGTTTTTCCCATGTATACATGTTATTTAACTTGGTATTATTTTCTCCTGCTAACCTGTCTTTTAATTATTTGGCCAGCCATAAGAACCTTAAGGGAAAGGGTGAAGAGTGGACTATCCCTCTCCCCAACGTGGGCATCCCCAGATATGCCCCCAAATGTTAACAATGATTATCTCTAAATGTGAAAATATGGATAGTTTTTATTTTCTTACATAACCTTTTCTGTAGTCCGTACTGATTTTTCTTTTTCTTTTTTACAAAGATCGTATCTATATATGACTTCTATAATATTAAAAAAATGAAAATTGTAAATGCTTTATAAATAATTTCTGAAACATCACAAACAGTGGCATGCATTGTTCTATAAATGACATTGGGAAAAAACTGAATTTTGAACCATGGTTCACATGATAAATTAAAATAAATTTCCTTTGACCACATACTCCCACTTCTGGAGAACTAGCCTAAAATTAAGCAAAATGTTCCCATTGCTTTACTCACAATGATGTTCTTTGAAATACTACTTATTTATAATCATAACAAACTGGAAACAACTGAAATATCTAAGAATAGGGGAAATGATAGAACAAATTATAATATATCCATGAAACAATCTTTTATGACCATTAAAAATGATGTTTGACAGGAACCCTCATACACAGCTGGTGGGAATGCAAACTGGTGCGGCCTCTATGGGAAACGGTATGGAGATTCCTCAAAGAATTAAAAATAGAAATACCCTATGATCCAGCTATCCCACTACTGGGAATCTATCCAACGAACCTGAAATCAACAATCCAAAGAAGCTTATGCACCCCTATGTTCATTGCAGCATTATTCACTATAGCCAAGAAGTGGAAGCAACCTAAGTGTCCCTTGAATGATGATTGGATCCAGAAGATGTGGTATATATATATACAATGGAATACTACTCAGCCATAAAAAAAAAAAAGACAAAATCGTCCCATTTGCAACAACATGGATGGGCCTGGAGGGTATTATGTTAAGTGAAATAAGCCGGAAAGAGAAAGACAAACACTGTATGATCTCACTCATATGTGGAATATAAACCAATGCATGGACAGAGAAAACTGTATTGTGGTTACCAGGGGCTATGGGGGTGGGAGGTGGGCACAAGGGGTGAAGGGAGACATATATATGGTGATGGACAAACAAAAATGTACCACCCAAAATTTCACAATGTTATAAAATATTAAAACATCAATAAAAAAATAATGTTTGATATAAAAACAATCATAAAAAGAGTTTTTATAAATGTATAAAAAAGTTTACTTTGTGGTACTAGGTTTAATTTATTTTGTAGTATTTAAGCATATGCAGTGTATTAAAAATATATATGCACAGACAAAAAGCTAGAGAACAGTGCTCTCACAATAGTATCTTGAGTGGTAAGAACACAAGTGATTAATATTTCCTTATTTGTAAACTTCTACATTTTCCAATTTTTCTTATGTATCGTTTTATGATAATAAGTTTCTTTTAAAGGAAGTCATAAAAATTTAAAAGTTCATTATAAACACAATTATTGGTCAAAGCCCCAAATCCTAAATAAATGTATGAAGATTATTAGCATCTAAAGATCCTATCCAAGTGGTTGAGAGGTAATGTCTATGCTCTGGGGGAAAAAATGTACAACTATAGAGCAAATAGGAACAAATTAAAATACATGGACACTTTTATTTTCTATTTATTAAACTAGCAAAGGAAAACAAAAATTGATAAAATTAATTCATGCATTTTGTAGCAGGGAGGACTTTACACGAGGTTGTGGTGTTGAAAGTTCATTAACATTACTCAGTCTTACAAAAGGCTGTAAGGACTTCCTGTTCATGCCAGGGCAAGAGACGACTGCTTGCCCCCAGCCTCCAGCTCCTCCCTCCGCACCAGGACCGGTGTCCTGCCCTTGACCAGGGCACAAGACATCTACCTGCTGGCTCAGAACCGTGTCTGCACTCACCATGCCTGGATCCCTGGAACTCAGCACCAAGGCCAAGATGCCCATCATGGGCCTGGGCACCTGGAGGGTAAATATACAAATATTTGGAATGTGCATCCCTCAAGGGGCTTTGGGCATTTTCTCTCCTCTGTCGGTAGGGAACGCCCAGAGGCAGGGGTCTGGGGAGGTGAGAGTTTGGCTCTGGAGCCAGGACTGAGGTTGCTTTCCTTTCTTAGGGCTGGTTCAGGCTGCAAGTCTGGCTTTTTCCAGGAATGGTGAGAGTTTCACTAACAATTATCAAGTTTTTCCAGGGCAATTTCTCTCCTAGCCACCTTTCCCTCTAAACTCTCCTTGGCTCTAGGACACTTAAAGGGTCCATGGGTTTGCTGCTGCCTGGGTGGCTGAGAGGAGGGGATGCCAGGGCTCGGAAGGCCCTGGCACTTCTCACCGCTCAGCGTGGAACCTGGGCTGGCAGCACCAGTACCCCTGGGAGGGAGCCTGTGAGAATGCAGAGTCTCAGGCCCCACCCCAGGCTACTGAGTTAGGATCTGCACATCAGTGAGATTCCCAGGAGGTCCTGGTGCACAGTAGAGTCTGAGAAGTGCTGAGACCACAGGGAGGATGGACCCAGCAAGAGG